ATGGGCAATCAGAAATCAGAGCTGGATTGTGCCGAAATGAGTAAGCTTACATTTGAAATTAGAGAACAAGAGGAGGAGCAATATTATAAAGTGTGGGACTTGTTTTACTAATGGTTAGATTAAAAAAAACCTGGGAATGAAACTGTTTACTTATGTTGTAGTTTTTTGTCTTTTGTCTTTTTCTATTCTCTCTGTTACGATATAGAGTACTACTTATATGATATATAAAGGACAATAATGATTTTAATGTATAAGAGTAGGATGATTTGAATACCTGGGTATAATTGTATGTAGTGATGATTTTATATTAGAAAGATCTTTGTATATTAAATGGATCAATGATGAAGTAAGGAATAATTGATATATACATGAATTGAAATACTTAACCACTATATGGATTAATAATTAATAATGGGAAACTATTTTTGGGATTCTAGATGATTGGTGATACTATGGTCAATTGAAAATATGAATGTATATTATAAATAAATGGGAATTCTTTGTTCCAATCTTTGCTATTTTTTCCTTGGAGATAGGTGATATTATAATACTTTAAAGACTTATTGTTATTTGATAGATAATGATGAACTCAAGGAAATAAGGATTGCTACAAATGAAAGAATATTAATAGTAATTTGAACACATAATGCTCAATGGTAATTTGAACACATAATGCTCAATGACAGTGAAATATTCAGCTATATTTAATGTAAACCAGTGATGTTAATCCTAAATTTAAGAATTGATGCACAAAATCCTGTAACCAAACGAGATGCTTGATGAAATGGAGGAAAGTTGTTCTTTTTTCCTCTCTTGCTTTGGTTTGTATGTGTTGTTTTGTTTAAAAAGAATAATATATATATATATATATTTTAAAAAAAAGAATGACACAGGAAAGAGAAAGCTGTCATCAAATACTAGAGCAGTGACGGCTCACCTTATCGGGAACACGTGCTCAAAGTGTGCAGGCACCCGAACCCACAAAATGCAAAAAGTTGAGGTTGGAGTGTGTTTATCTCGTACTGCGCTAGGAAGAGTTGGGAGTCAATGGCCTCTTTTTCTCCTTTTTCTCTTCCCCCTCGTATTTCACACCTCCTTTCCCCCGTTCCCTTCCCATCTCTTCATTTCCTAATTTCTTTCTTCTTTTTGTATTTTATACAATACAAAAATGGACAAAAGGACAATCCTGCTACTCACTTAACAACTGCGGTGGTTTGTTTCACAACCGTAGCAAGAAAGGTCGTGAAAATCCATTTAACAACCGTCTCGCACAGCAGCAAACATTCGTGCAGTGGTGAAATTCTATTTATTTTTTTTACTACCGGTTCTGTGGGCGTGGCTTGGTGGGCGTGGCAGGGGAAGGATACTGCAAAATCTCCACTCCCCATTCCCATTCTTGGGCACGCGTGCCATGGGTTCGTCATCACAGATATAGGTCTTAGAAGGATAGTAGCAGTGGTGGGATTCCAAAATTTCTCCTCCCAGTTCTGTGGGCGTGGCGTGGCGTGGCTTGGTGGGCGTGGTGTGGCTTGGTGGGCGTGGCAGGGGAAGGTTACTGCAAAATCCCCATTCCCTCCTGATCAGATGGGACTCGAGAGGCAGAGAATAGATGGGGCGGGGCCAGCCAGAGGTGGTATTTGCCGGTTCTCTGAACTACTCAAAACTTCTCCAGAACCTGTCAGAACCTGCTGAATTTGACCCCTGGTCTTGGGATGAGTTTAGGCCCACTGGCCCACTCAATTGTGGTCATAAGTCAAGGACTATCTGTACATTTAAACCAAAGCCAACACCTGCCTTTCAACAGAGGACCTACCAGGTTCCAACTATGATCGCCAGTGAATCCAATTCTCTCATCAGCAGGACTTTCTTTAAAGCTTTTAGCAAATTGCAGCCTCTGGTAGGTTCCAGCTCCTGGACCCACTGCCTGGCTTCATTTAATCTAGGGGGGTGGGGAGAATAAAGAAAGTAAATTTTACTGCACGCCAATTTAGACACCAGCCTAAAGTTCTACAGAGCAATTAAACTGCCTTTTCCCTTTGAGTTTAATGATAATAGTGATGTGCCTGTCGACAAAGCACATCTCAAAGAGCCAATTCCAAACAATTAACAACGCTGAAAGTCAATGTGGTTAGCAAATGCAAAGATCAACCAGTAAATGGCAACTTTGGCATGATAAAATTAGGCAATAAAATTCTAGCAGAATAACGACAACAATAGAGGTTCAATTCTACTAAAAGTGACTCCTGCAAGCATGCACCAGTATCAACGCAACCAACATGGAATTTCCAAAAGGAAAACAGAGGACCTGCAATTCCAGCAAGAGGAACAAAAATCTGAAATTTTAGACAAATAGCACTCTTTCCAACATGTCATCTTTAGTGAAGAGTGCAAACCAGTATCTGCATTTCCTGCGTCGGATGAGGGGAGCACATCTTTTTCCTGCTGCCCTGACCACTTTTTACAGAGGCACCATTGAGAGCCTTTTAACAAACTGCATCCCTGCTTGGTTTGGTGGCAGCAGTGCCTCCGATAGAAAGTCCATACAGAGAGTGGTGAGGACAGTGGAGAAGATTATAGGAAGCTCGCTTCCTATTTTTCATGCTGCTGCTTATAAGTGCTATGTTCTTCGAGCTCAAACCATCGTTTGAGTCTGTTAGGGTCTGTTTCTGTTGCTATCCTTCTGGGAGGAGGTTTTGAAGAATTTCTAGTAGGACTACCAGATTCTGTAACCGCTTTGATCCCTATGCCATCCGTCTGGTAAATTCCCAAGACTCGTTTCTCTTACCATGTACATGTATACATCCGGAGTAGACTGTGTTGTTTCTCAGTGTCATTTAATATATATGGGTATGTGCAAATGGTGGGTTTCCAAATTTTTTATAACCTCTTCTGTAGGTGTGGCCTGCTTTGTGGGAGTGGCTTGCCAGCCAGATGACCGGCTGGCAGTGGCTTGCCAGTCATGTAACTGGGTGGGCGTGGCCAACTTGTAAAATGTGGTGAAACTCACTTAACAACGCTCTTGCTTAGCAACCAAAATGTTGGCTCAGAAACTCTGGCATTTGAAGCACGCAAGTCTTAGAGCTGTCAAGTTACAAGACCCTTCCACCCCTAACCCTTTAGAAAAAAAACCCAGGGCTGTTCAAACTTGACAGCTTTAAGACTTGTGGACTTCAACTCCCAGAATTCCTCCTCTCGCTCTTCATCTTGATGATGTGCGGACGGGCGGGGGGAGGGAGCTGGAACTGGTTTTAAACGGCATGGTAGATTTATGGAACCTCTTCTATAGAAGAGGTTAGAACAGGGCAGGAACCCACCCCTGGTATGTGCATACTTTTCTATTTATGTATTTAATTTGTAATTCTATAGTGTATTTACTGTATTTTTCAGAGTATAAGACGCACCTTTCCCCCCCCCCTAAAAGAGCATGGAAATATTGGTGCGTCTTATACACTGAATACAGCCATTTTTGGCCTCCTGAAGCCCCACCCCTGAATCCCATATTTGTGAAAAATGGGCAAAAAACAGGCCGCTTTTCACCCAAATGGGGGTGTTTTCACTTTCCCCCACCCCCCAGAAGCACTCTGCAAGCTTCAGCAGGGCTGGGGGAAAGGAAAAATGTCCCCATTTTGGTGAAAAGCTGAGGCGTTTTGCCTTCTCCCAGCCCTGCTGAAGGCTGCCGAGTGCCCCTGGGGCTGGGGAGGACCAAAACTTTTTTCCCCTTACTTACCTCTTCGAAACGCACTTGGTGCGTCTTATACACCGGTGCGTCTTATAGTCCGAAAAATGTGGTATTATTTTGTAGCATAGATTTGAGGTGGTCATGCAATGGAATTTCATGATAATGTACGTCTATGCCGATTATTAGTGTACGTTCAAAGTCGCAATAAAGCAGTTGTAAACCTTACCGATCCTCATTGACGGTGCGCGGTTCCTCCCACAGAGCTGAGGTCTCACTTCCGAATGAAATAAAGTAGAGTTTTTTCATGTAATGCAGCTGCTCGTTAATTAATGCCTGGGAGGAAAATAATCAGGAGTTCATGTTGATCTGAGTCAACCCCATCAGAGACAAGAAGAACCGACCCTTATAATATACGCGTTATTCCCAGTGGTGAAATCTAAACATTTTGCCTACCGGTTCTGTGAGCGTGGCTTGGAGGTGTGTGTGTGTGGGGGGGGGTGGCTTGGTAGTCATGTGACTGGGGCGGGTCAAAAGACAGAAACTCACTTTGATGTTTAATAAATTTATAGGCCGCCCAATCCCGAAGGACTCCGGGCGGCTTACAACAATACATTTAAAAATAGAAGTTAAAAACACTTTAAGAATGTCCTGCTGGAGCAGGGGATTGGACGAGGACTGGATTGCTGTGCTCTTTCAAGGCATCTTCGGAAGCCGCATCTAATGCCAAGTTTGTGGTCCTTCCTCCCTCTCTTCTCTCTCTCTCTTTTTCACAGCACCCCACCACTGCTTTTTAAAGCATTTTCTCCCTGCCTATTCACCCAAAACCAGCAGGAAAAAAACGCTTTAAAAAGCGGAAAAAAAGTTTCCCACAATCGCGCGGCTCACAGCTGATCCTTGGAAGCTTTTTTTCTTACTACTGGTTCCGCTGAACCGGGAGGATTTCACCTGTGTATTATCCCCTACCACTAACACAGCAGTGCAATATTGAACCGCTAACGCAGCCTAGGAGGGGATGGCTTCCGTCATCAAATGAAGCCACAATCTCATGACCTGAGCTTTGTTAAACACAGGGAGTCCTCGCTTTGTGACCATTTCATTTGGTGACCGTTCAAAATTACAACGGGAATGAAAAATAAGGGACCTTCTGATCAGTTTTCACACTGACGACCGTTGCAGAATCCCCCCGTGGTGATCAGAATTCAGATGCTTGGCAACTGGATCTTATTTACGACGGGCGCAGAGGTCCCGCGGTTACCCCCTTTTGCGACCTTCCGGCGAGCCAAGTCCACGGATTCCTTGAACAACCGTGTGACTAACTGAATAATTGCAGCGATTCGCTTAAGAAATGCGGCAAGAAAGGTCGTAAAACGGGGCGACATTCACCGAACCACCGTCATGCGTAGCAATGCCTCGACTGTCGGCGTAAGCCGGGGACTGCCTGTAATGCTTACCAAGAGATCCATTTGAAGTCCTTGCAGTCCTGATCCATAATCTACGCTGGATGTTTCGATGAGAACTCCAAGTTTGTTTCCTTGAATGACGCCAAACAACTGGAGTTGGAGGATGAAGAAAGAAAGAAAGATGTCAGCACCTCTTCATTGGGTAATTAGGAAAGAAGACCACGAGACTCCATAGGTAGAAATCAAG